TGGGCCACTGGAGGGGGACATGGGATCATGGGTGAGGCATAAAAAGTGCTGCCTTTACAATTATAGTATTAGAAAGGAAAAAAGATGGAAGGGGTTCTGAACATCATCTGTCTCCAGTTCAGGTCATTTCTTGCTGAGGTGGTTGTGAGACTACAGTTTCCTTCTTTCCCTAAATGAGAGCTTTATCTTACATTTAGAGGCTTCTGCAGAATGTCAAGTGTTCAGCAAATCTGTATCCTTGCCAGCCTGTCACGAGGTATCAGGTGGTCATTTACTAGCACAGGTCAAAGTGTGACATGCAAACCTTTGTAAAAAGCATCAAACAGCCTGCCCCTCCTCAACAGGCAAACAGAAGGGATGTACAAGTATTTGCTTTGAACTAAATCAATTTGCTATTAAATACTATTGTGAGTGCATTTAACTATAGATACAAAGCGTCAGGTTTTCAGGGAACTAAATCCTTTCTCAGACTACAAACACCTAATTTAAAGCTATCCACAACACTTATTTGAAAGATCACCACTAATAATCACATCCTCTTCTTTCTTGCACCCTGTGTAAATTTGTATATTTAACTCAAGGTCTTCCTATGTAGGGCAAAATTTATCTAAATGACTATTTTTTGTGAATATCAAACTCTATTTCAAAGGAAAAGAAGCTAGTACAACTGTAAAAGACAGCCAAGTCCAGTAATATAATGACACTGAGCTATAATTAGTATTCTAATTAGACTAGTACAAGTAAGAAACTTTTTGAAATGTTCACTATATTGTGGGCCTGCTGTCATGCATTTGTTACTAATAAAGCCCAATTACGGAAATGTATACATTTTCTGTCATAGTGTATTTTAATGCAGTGTTTTCAGTATATACCAAAAGACAATAGAAAAAGCTCGAGTACAATTCAAAATCTTAACCAAGGGAGATAAATGAAGACATCTTTTGCAAATGTAACAAATTACTGTGTACATCAAGACAAAAAAAAAACTGTGTACACCAAAAGTAGATAAGAGTAACATGCAATTATGGACTTATGCATGTGAAATATTGTATTTACGCAACACACAATCTATGGTTTTCCCTACAAATCCTCAGATTATCTTTGGGCACTGGATAGGAAGCCTGCCTTGTCAAACCCTGCTTACTAAATGCAAAATGGAAGTCTTCATCAACAGAGAATGATACCATGTTGCCATTACGCAAACTGGAGCCATTTTTGAAGATTACACTCCCATGCTTACTTTGAGACTGGTTTCTGTCAGAACAATCACACCACTAAAACCTAAATGACAATTATCTCTTTTTCTGAATGGCAAACTGAAGGTTATACCACGTGAGGGAAAGATGTGACTGTCACTTATGCTATCGTGTCTGTTTGACTGGAGTCAACACTACACTATATAAATGGATGATATATAAAAATGCAAGATGTGCAAGTAGACCGGATGACACACAGATGGATAGTGTGGGGGAGACCAAGGGAGGGAGGAAACTGCAAAGACTGAGACTACCAAGTTTAACATGTATTGCTAGCTCAGTGCCTCAGCTCTCCAATTCAGATCCAGTAAAATCGACATGATTAATGCAACAATCCTATTTCGACATGTTTTACATCTATAAAAGTTCAGATTCAAAAGTATAGAACCAAATTTATGTGGTTTCAAGTATAATGTTTAGTTACTGATTAATCTAAAGCTTTTATTCAAGCTTTGTGCTGATTAATTGATTAACCAGCATACCTTTAAATATCCATTTAAGCACAACATCAGCAAACATCCAGTTTGTTCGTGACATTTATGTCAGTTTGGTCAGAATATGAATAATGAGCAAAATAATTAAGCTATCACCCAACACTGGTGACACCCAGCAGCCTTGAAGGGTGATCCACAATCACTTTTAGGCTTTAAAAAAAACTGAACATGGCATTGAAAACAATATCCCTGCATACATCATGATGCAAAACTGTGTGAGTGATTGAAATTGGGTTTGACTTTGACTTAACACTAAAGCAAATCTTAAAGTCTGTGCGTATTTGAACTCGCAAGGTTGAGAATTCAAGGGTGAAAAACAAAAGCATAAACCATGACCTGACATCAGGACGGTCTCACCGTGGACATTTGAGTATAAATAAAGCAGTAGAGCTAGATGTGAAGGAGTTATAATGGTGCATAACTGAGATATGCATATTTGCACAAAGAATGTTTTATGATACATCCAATTTTTCAGCCTAAGACATTAAACAAACAAAAAAGAGATACCTGAGGTGATTTCAAGTCTGTCTAACAGGCTCTGAATCCATTGTTAATCACAGCTAAGCACACAGTGGGGTAGACTCAAACAGTGCCTATACGGTGATTTACTACTAACTAGTACCTAAAAGGAATGCAACAATATAAGCTGAACACTGGTAGGCAGCTTTGTGGACTTAGATTAGCCTATTGGAAAATGAGATGTGATGATGATTCATATGTTATGTAACAATATAGAAGCTTTTTTTTTTTTTTTATTCTTGTATTCATGGCACAATTTATATTTTATTTATCCATAAAATAAAAGTATAAATGGTTTTGGCACTGGCTAGTGATCACAATAGTACTAATTATAAAATATCACCATTGGGCCACAATCTTATATTGGATGGATTCCTGCCAACTAGCTTAAGAAATAAAACACTGCTAGCAGCACTATGTAAATATTTCTGCTCCACATGAACAAAGCAAAAAGAACATCAACCATAAGGTGAAACGACACGCTTTGCATCCAGGCACTGACAGTTACTCATTTGATCAAACGAGTTCAGCTTCATCTGGTTTTTCAGTAATTGGACTAAGAAAGATATAAGATGTTTCTCACAGATAATCCAAGCTTAAACACACTCATAATAGTGGTAACCATTAGCTGGTATAATTAGAAAAAAAAATTACTTCATGAGCATAATTAAACGGACAGCTAAAGAGTTTGACCAAGTCAAAAGTAAAAGAAATTCTTGCAGTGATTCTAACATGCATTTGTTCAGAAACTCCATATGCATCATGAATGAAACAGCATATGCAGGTCATGCATTAGTGATATGTGCTGAAGATCCCTTTGTGTTTGTCACATAACATAACCTGATGAGTCTGAGAATTACAGTACAGTACATTAATTAAAAGCTATGGCGTCAGTTTTTAAAGATGGACTGAAGAACAAGCACAAAAAATACATTCACCTTGCAGCTGACTGTGAAATTTGTGAGTTCAATGAATTAAATGTTCAACACATTTGAAAGAGAAAGATGCACTGTTAGGGGATGACAGCGCTTTCCCCCCTCACTAAAGATAAAATACTAGTCAAGTCACAATGCAATTTGCCAATTTTGTATTGCTCTGTTTGCTTCTACAACCAAAAGGACTTAATAAGCAAGTCAAAAATCATTCAATAATAATTTCATTGTAACTCTAGGCACAAAAGGTCTTTGCATAGCTTTGTGAAGCTCAGCCTCCATACAACCCCATGTGATAGGCCTACATATTAACTCATCAATGTCTGTGACATGAATTAACTTCTTTATAAATTAAGAATGTAGTAACAGGGAATGCTGCGCTGTACTGAAAATGTTATTCATCTTTGGTTTGACAGATTTATCAGACACAAATTACAGTCTGACCCATAGCAGTTACCTGCTATGTACAAGAATAGCAGTACCATACTACTACATTGCTAATCTCTTAAGACATGCCATTAGGATCAGAAAAAGTAACATCAGGAACCTGGTGTTCAAATATCCACTCAGCTAACCTGTGACTGAGCAAATGACTTAATGTTACAATAACCCCCAAAGCCAATGAACATAACATCTGACCCCCTTTTTACAACTCAGTTCTACTGATCAAAGCTTAAAATGTCTTTCTTGACACCAAATTATTAGTCTCATGTGACACCCAAAGCCTTTAGTCATTGGATAACAGAGATAATTGTTTAATAAAGACCAAATGCAGACTTGGGTGGATCAGAGTTCCCATTTGAAGCTTGATTTAGACACGAAAAGTCTATGTTTTATTCATTACATCTTGAAAGTCGGGAGCACTTTAGACTCCCGACTTTCAGTTTCCTCCACCTAACCTGAAAGCAGTTTTATTGGCATTATAGTAAAGGTGTGGCCATTTAAAGCATGAAGTACGTACAATCCAGGTAATACGTGGGGGTGCACAAAAAGGAAGAACTTACTAATAGTATAAAAATCTTTAATAGCAGCTCCGTTGCGATCAAGGTGTGCCTCGGAGATAAAAAGAAAGAGTACTGAATAGAAAAGGAGGCTCCGTGAATTCTTGAGTCACAGTTAACTTTGGCAAAGTCATTCAGCACGGGCGGTGGATTGCTATCTAACATACCACATGATCATTTGTACAACCAGCCAACGTGATATCCCCTTGAGGTCAAATAATCACTTTCAAATTAACACGACGGTACATATAATCAGGACGCAGACAAATAAGGCGGGTGTAGAAGTTTTAATATTTTTTTGCGCCGTATGGTGATTTGAAGAAATCGATTGAGCGGTGTCGCAACAGGCGACAATAAGGATAACTATTTCATTTCTGAATCAGACGATTACAAGGCACTGATAGTGACGATTAATACCAACGACAGCAATAGCCACTCCGAGAAAATGAACACTTTTGCTGTGAATGGGGCAAATACTTATGAGAAACGGTAAACACATATTTCCGTTCATCACTACGACCTATTAGTATTATTTATATGCTGTATTTCTGTACTTCAGACTTAAAGAAGCGAACAAGGGTGGGTAAGCAAAGTGTTAGCAAGAATGCTTGATGCTACTAGCCAAGACAAACGTCATCCACCCTGTCAAGCTAGTTAGCGTAGCACCAAACGCTAACTTAGCTTGCTAGCAATCTCAAACTTGTGTTGAGAGTCTCTGAAGCGACAGCCAGTCTGGCAGTTATTGCGACCGAAAGATGAACTTGATCAAACAATTTAACCATTCATTGATTCACATACCTGCAGGTGCTCCTGAAAGCGAATAGGCAGGATCTGAGCCATGGCGGTTCCTCTCTCACTCTCCTCCGGTCTCGTCTAATGCTAACAAACTACGGCTGCTTCTCTCAGATCCTAGCCGGACAGCCAGGAAGTCTCTAGTCTAAAGTCCAATTGTAAGCGAATTCTACGCCTTATTTAAAACGCGCTGTCGGTGTGACTGTACTTTATTTGTTTTTTATTCCTTCCCTTAACTGTTTACTTGCGGTCTTCCCCGGCTAACGACTGTCACTACACCGACTCCCTGGACCTGCAATGGCGGTGGAGGTTGGTCAGCAGAGAAAACATCCCGGAAATGGAAGTGCACTCAATAAGGCGGATGGATACGTATTTCGACTTTTAAAAAGTGAACTGTGCTTAGTATGTTGCCGTTTGTTTGAAACATTTATAACATTTTAATTGTTCTTTAAAATATCAAAATAAGACAATGAACTTCAGCATAAAAATATATGAGAACAAACGTAAATGTGGGACTACTTCTTTCTGTTCGCCCTTTGATTTTTGCCACATCATTCGTCTTTCTAAATTAACGTCATTCCTACGCGGTGTATTGTAGCTGTACACTTGTTCCTCTCAGCCAATCCGATCACTCGGTACTCAAACGAGTAATTCAACTTTATTCTAATTACGGGACAGCGCTAAATTACTTTAAATTACTATTTAAATGCTCAGAGGAGATTCTTTCCTTATCATAATATATATTTTCTTGATCCTTAACAAGAACTTACTGGTCAGTACGCAGTGTACACAGCATGGTTCACATTAAAGGACTAACTTTTCACTACGGTGCCTATTGATACAGGCCATTGTGTTTGTGTTGTTTAATTTAAGCCTTGGGGTTTGGGGGGACTTGTTCTGGTGAATTTTTGAAATCGCCCCTGCATTAATTTATCAAGAAAATGTCTTTAATTGTAAAAGTATACTTAACACGTCAACACATTCCTCAGTAGTTTTACAGCTTTTTATTTATTTATTTATTAACTTTGTGTGTCCTACATATTTGTAAGGCTGTGTCCCCTTGTGTTCTTCTGAAATCTATACCTATGAATTCACATGACGACTAGAATCTATTTTCTATAATTTGGCAGTCAAAGGAATTATAATGCGTGAAATATTATGGTTAGAAAGTCTAATAGCAGAAATTTTCTGTTTTGTTCAGATGCATGCAATACGTGTTGGGTGGAGTGTGCATGCATTTTAGTGAGTATTCATTTCCCTTTTTTACATCCACAATTTCTGTTGGCAGAGGATGTAACCTTATTGCTCAACATAAAACTGAATTATGGGAAAGCCATCTCTTAAGTGAGCTGACCTTTCAGCAGAAATGTTATTCTGTCGAGCCAGCAATTACAGCTTCTGAGGAAACAGACATCGCAAGAAAACGACTAGATCTGCATGTATTAGTCAATCATGTGTCAAGATGCCTAGCTGTGGTACCATCCTCCAAGATTACTGTGCATAAAGTGTGTTATAGGGGGATTAAATTTGAGGTGGTGAACATCTGATCAGATTATTGTTGTTCTTCCCTGCAGATGGGAACTGAACAACAACAGAGACTAAGCCAGTTCTGCACATTAAAAAACAAACAAACAGGATTCAATGTTTATACAAAAGATGATAATTCAGCACGGTGGCACGGTGGTTAGCACTGTTGCCGCACAGCAAGAAGGTCCTGAGTTCAATTCCAACATCAGGCCGGGGTCTTTCTGTGTGGAGTTTGCATGTTCTCCCCGTGTTTGCGTGGGTTCCCTCCGGGTACTCCGGCTTCCTCCCACCGTCCAAAGACATGCAGCTTGTGGGGATAGGTTAATTGGATAACCCAAATTGTCACTAGGTGTGAATGTG